TTATACGGATCTTCCAGCTGTTGAAATGCCCAGTAGTAGCCTCTCTGGAGTTTGGTAGTCTGAGCTCCGGTGACCCTACCCTTGTAGACGATGGATGTGTCGTCTGTGAACAGAGACAACGATCCACCATCAGGGAGAGCCGGATTATCGAAGGTGAATAGATTGAACAGGATGGGCCCAAGGATACTTCCTTGGGGCACACCTGCACCGATGTTAAAGGCATCCAATGTGATGCCATTCAGAGAGACCTGGATCCGATAGATAATTTTGTATGATTTTCATGAGGATGCAACTTGTACACCAGGCCATCATGCCAGACATTGTCAAACGCTTTTTCAACATCTAACAATGCCATGGCAGATGTTTTTTAAACAGCCTTGTTCCGTCTAAGAATGTTTGTTACTCGGGTCAGTTGGTGGACGGTCGATCGACCTTTTCGAAAACCAAACTGCTCCTCGAGTAAGATGTTGTTTTCTTCGGCAGATGTTAGAAGCCGGCTGTAAACTGTGCTTTCGAACAACTTGGATAACCCTGAGAGAAGGCTGATGCCTTCTGCGAGTTTAGATAGCCCACATTTTTAGACTAACATTTGAAAAGGGTGTAATTGTAAAATGACCATATCGAGAAAATCGCATCCGAATTTTGATAACCTAATGTATTGAGAACGCTTGCGCAAAAAGACTAAGGGAGGGAAACGCATTCGAAACTTATATGTCATTAGCCAAATACATCCGTAGACCATAGGTCCACCGTTGTATAATTGGCAATGCACCCGTGTATTGAATGGGAATTGTGGGTTCGAATCCCACTGGTGCCCTTAGATTTTTTCGCAAATTTTCTCACACGCACGTCTCTTGCCGATGATATGTGCTAACCTCTCAGTATCTTCTAACTGTCGCATATAACAAATAAAAAATTGACTTTCAGTCGCTAACCTAAATCGATAATATCTGTTATTTAACAACTTAAGATTTATATTTGGAATGATAGATCATAATTAAAAAAAAAATCTCTGTAATCTGTTTAAAACCCAAAAATCTGTGATCTGTGAATACAGATGCTTGGTTTTAGGCCTCTGGAATATCTGTAGATATATAGATCAATCTGTAGTTTTGGCAACCCTGGTGACAAGGCCTATACCAACAGCAGCGTTTGACAGTAGGCAGCAGGTCCTGGGCTCAAATAATTTATTTTGCTTTGTTATGCCTTATAACATGTTGCCTACCAGGGGATGGATATGGCTGTCATATCGCTTAAGTTTGCTGCGTACCGAACATCTGCAACGTTGTCAGCGGTACCATGATATGTTTTGTTGTTTTGATGTTGAGTACGTGTATTCAGCTATATGTCAAACCCCTGTTGCCTACGCGCCTGATACTGGGCTCCTAGCTGTCTCAGAATTTGCTCTCACAAAGCAATTATATGAAGTTTGTGAAAGACAACAAAATCGAAGCCGAAGTCCTTGTATTTTTTTTTTTTTGTGAATACTTAAGTGGTGAAGGGAATGCTAAAGGAGGATTACAATTAAATCTGATAATAACTCCAGAAAATCTTCAAATAAATTCGGAAAATAATTCCAGGAGAGATTGCCAAACAAATTAAGGGAAGAAATCTAAGGAACGTGTGAGGAGAAATGAAAATTAATTCCTAGGAGACTATCAATGTGAGTAGAATTCCAAGGAAAGGAGTGAGATTAAAATGTAAATCTGAAATGAATTCAATGAAAAAGCTGAGAATCTTTCCATAAGTTTTCTTACTGAAATAGAATTCGGACGATAGTTTCAACGACATTTTGAGAAATATTGCAATGGAATTGCGAAAAATATTTTAAGTATATTCTTGTGATATTTTTTAAGAGAATTCAGAGAAGCGTTCCAAGTGAATTTCTGAAAGAATTCCATGAGAGTTTCGGAAGAATACGAGCGTAAGATTAGGAGAACTTCAAACGTATTTTCATGGAAAATCTCCGTTGAATATGGTTGAAAGTTCCCAAAATATTCCTAAAGTTAATGAAACTGCCTTGAAGTTTTTTTGTAGTTTGAGAAACTAGTCTGATGCTCGCAATACTTCTCATATATGTTTTAAACTTCTCTAAACTTGTTCGGACTTTCTAGAGTCTCCACAATTTTCCTAACGATCATGAATCTCCTCTAAAATTTTATAAATTCACTGAATTTCTCTTTTTTTTTTTAATTTATGTAGTTTTGCTGCTCTGGAATATCTCTGCTCTGAGGATATCTGTTTTCTTTTCTAGAAGTTTTTTTTAGAGCTTTATTAGCGAGATCTTTTCTTCTAAACTTTTCTTAAGTGTTTGCAGTTCTCATGAAGCTTGTTGTACTTCCCTGAATTAAATTGAACTGTTCTAAAAATGTTTAAACAATTAGATATAGAATTAAGTGAATTTTGTTAAAAACAGAAATAATGAACTATCTGCTCCGTAAAGCTAACACCAAGCCTTCCAATTAAACGAACTAGTTAAAAAAGATACATAGTTCTACGATTTTGACTGAAGTTCTTAAGAGTTGTCTGATGTTCAAAATGCCGAAACTTATTCATAAATTCTTCATCAGTCTAGAGTTTCCTGATGTTTTTAAAACTATCCAAAATATTGCTCAATTTCCTTAAAATTCACTATAGTGTCCTGAATAACTTAGTATTTTTTAAATTCCCCACTATTTTACTGGAATTGATTGAATTGCCTTTAAGTTCTACAATTTTCCATAAGTTTATAAACGCTCACGGAGCTTTGCCTTAAATCACTCATTTTCCCTGGAAAGTCCAGCCCTGAAGTTTTTCTTGCTTACCTTATTTTCTCTAAATTAATCATATGTTCCGGTAAATTTTCTGATATACATTTATAATTCTCTGTATCTTCTAAATTTGTCTGATCAATCAAAGAATTCTCGGATCATCCTATAATTACAAGGAACTGCTTGTTAATCATTGCACATTTCCTTAAGTGATATATATATAGTAACACCTTTGAAATACTCTCACATTTTCCGGATGTTCATATAATTTTTATTGTGTTCCAGAAATTTTCTCTGAACAAACCAAAGCTTCTGGAAATTCCCGGAAATTTTATTGAAATTTCTTTAAGGTTTCTGCAATCTCCTTGAAATGTTTGTAACTGCCCTTTAATTCTATTATCTGTCTTGGTGTTCTCGGAGCTTCCCTTAAGCCCTAAATTCTAATGAAAATCTCGGTTCTGCTTTAAAATAAATGAAATTCTCGTGAACACCTTTAAACTTTCCATGATTTTTTTGGATTTCTGCGAAGTTCCTGAAATATTTCTGAAGTTTTAATAAATTTTCTGAAGGTCTCTGTACTGAATGTCTCGAAACATCTTAAGGGTTCTCGATTTCATTTCAGCACATCATGGAACAATCCTGAATTTGTCTAAACTAATACTCAAAGATTTTTAAACCAATCCAATAGTCTGAGCTAAAGTTTCGGGGACTTCCTCTTAAGATCCATGGAATTCCCGAAAGATTTCTAGATCTAGCTTTTCTGAGATAAATAGAACTTATTAAAAGTTTCCACAATTTTCTCAAGTACTAAAATTTAAGACATTAAAAATGTTTTGATCTTAGACTTTGTGAAATGAAGTAAAGTTGTAAGCTGTTTCTTTAAAACTGATTGTAATGTCTTAAAACGTTTGTGTTAATTGTTGTTGTTGTTGTTGTTTTACGCATTTCATTAATAACTTTTTCATTATAAACCTAAAAATTATCTGCAAATGTTAAGGAAAAACCTGGAAATTCCTGAGGTTTATTTAATCAAATGAGTGGACACCCTGTAGATAGAGAACGACGATTAAATAAAAATAAAAACTCTATACAAGGTCGTCAACTTCAAATTGTTCAAAAATTAGAACAAAATGTAGGCCTATCCTACACTCCGCAAGAAAAATGGTCACTTTTGAGATAAATTCATGTTAAAAAAAGTTTAAAACAGTGACTGATTACAAAAAAAGTAACTTAGCCTACTAAAAGCAGATTTTTTAGTGACTTGCTTCAAAAAAAGTGACCAAGTCACTAAAAAGTGACTCACTACCAGCCCTGAGTTTGTTTTATTTTTCAGGAAAGATGAAGTAAAAAATATTTCAAGCAACTTTGATGAAACACCATATGTTTAAGGCCCAAGCGCAATGACAGCGGCAGCGGAGTAAAGGCCGGCGCATAATGGATAAGTTTTCTAATACATACAGGAAAGGAAACATAAGGAAACTTATGCATTGTGCGCCAGCCTTAAGCCTACTTGTCGGATTGAAAACTATTTCAAACCAAATCGACATCGGTTAGGCTTCTTGATGTCATTTGTGACAACTGTTAAACCTTCCGTTTTCTGTTCTGCTTCCGTCCACATTTCGTTTGGACCTTTACTCTTCATTTGACCATGCTATTAGCTATTTTTTCTGCTTTTTATTACATTTACATCTAAAACATCAATTTTATTATTCTAACTTTTTTGTTTTACATTTTGTCAAACTGTAGTGTAAGGATGAACTAGTTACAGCTTGCCCAGGCGTACTAGTTAACAAGCATACCTCTCACATCGAAGTCACGAGTTCGAGTGATTAAAATAAAAAATAAAAAAATTAAAAATACAAGCAACATGTTTGCAGAAGACACTGCCTCTTGATCCAAACGGTAGCAGGAAACGACAAAACAAAATTGTTTGCAACCTGCTTCACGGATATACACGCTATACACGTAAGTAAATGGGGATTTTATGTTATGTCATTTCACCGTTCCGGTCAAGCTATGTCCTCAACCGTGTTTGTTGCAACACAGTCTTGTAAACAATTTATCGTTTTCCTTATACCGTTCCGATCAAGCTTTATTGTAGAGAGAGAGAGATTATCGTGGTAGTTGTCGCAAGTGTTTTATCTTTAGCTTCCTGTGTCTGAATTCCCTGGTGAAATGATAAATTTTATCACACGAAAATTGGAAAATTAAGAACTTCGAGTACTGAGGTTGAAAACAAATTCTACTCACCTTGCACTGCCCCCGCCCAACAGAGCCAAAACAATGCCCACTTGGGGGTCATAAACGACTGAATCCACCGGGGTCGCACTTCGAACCATCCACAATGAAAGCTCTCCAAATGTTGTTGTTCCTCGGCCCCAACGGCGCCTTTCGCCTTGCCAATTCCATCTTCTACTTCAGCCGACAATGCACTCAACTCTTTATTCGTAGTAAAACTACTCCCATCCATACTGTTACTACCGGTCTTGGAGGACGTGGACTCTGTCAAGGCCACCGTAACCGTGGTCGTGGTCGGTGTCGTTTCTAGCGATGAACTGTCCCGCTCATGGTTTTCACCGCCGATGATGCCATCCAAGCTGGTTGACGACATTATGCTCGTCGTTGTTGACGCAGTTTAAAATTAAAACACTTAGCGGTTAATTAGTATTCTGGTCGACCTATTGGATACCCCCCAAATACGTGTTCCAGTCAAAACCAATCGTCACGGTAGCTATACACGGTTTCGAAAATTTCGACTCGTCCCAAAGACGTTACCAACAGTCTCCTTTCAGCACGTCACTCCGACCACCAATTGCACACCACGACTCTGCAAAACTTCATAATTCTGCACCCGCACTCGCGCACATTGTGGGTATCCTTCCAGAAGCGGAGAGGTTGTTCGTTAATCCTCCGATAATGGCCAAGCAGTGCTGACTTCAGCTTATAAATCACCTTGCCTGTCGCTGGTGTGTCTCATTTAAATTATCACTTTTTGCAATACACACACTCACCGGCCCTCACCTGCCTCGGAACAAGTGCAGTCCGAGTGATTCAATGCTGTAAAGTTTACGCAAAATTATGCAAAGTCCGCCGTAATCATGATACAATGAAAACACCTCAGCATAGATTTTGTGCACTTTGAATAATAATAGGAATCACTTCGGTCCGGCCCCCTTTCGTTGTGGCTGATGCCGAGAGCGGTACATAGGCAACGAATCGATGGTGGTATTCCCGGGATGATCTGTGCAGTCGGAGAGTTTGTTATTCTTCAATCCGGCATAACTCAACTTCCGTTCAATTAAAGGAAACTTTTTTTTTCTGTGAATGGCAGGACAGTATATGAAGCTAAATACTCGTCTGAATTGGTCTTTTCGAATCCACTCAGACGACGACCGTTGCTAATCACAGCACGATGATGATGATCACAAAGCACGCGGAGATCGCCGTACAAAAGACTTCACTGATTAGAGCAAGAACATCCCACACTCGTTTCAGCTTCCTTTGAACGATGAACAAATGATATCAACTCAAACGTATCGCGCGGTATCTCTTTCTCTCTCTCTCGAAAGATCAACGTGATAAATGCGACACTTGACTTCCAACCATCCGCGCCCGTCTCACTCGCTGGTGGAAGGAATTATTAACCACCTGTGTGTATCGCACCCGCAATTAACCACCCAGTCAGTGATCCGCCAGAACAGCTACCAACGGCAAGACTACGCGCGTGAGATGTTACCGCGTGCGATTCCAAACGGAAACTAATCGGAAATATTACGCGCCGGGATGGTTGTACCTCTATTTTGGCCTGGCAGAGTGGAATCTGCCTGTGAGCCTAGTGGCCGCGTTCGTCTGTCTTTCCTCGTGCGCGGTGCTCCCTGTTACCAGCTGAGCAGAGTGGTTGTACACGCGGTGTGAGATTCAGTTTCATTCAAGAAGTTTTACCAGAGAAGCGTAGGCGGAGCTGGGAAGGGCTCTCGGGGGAACGGCTTTATCTTTGGGTTTGGATTGGACTCGAATTTCGAAAAAAAAGCCTTTCAAAAAGCCATTTAATATTATTATTTGAAAAAAAAAATCAGTATCGCTGAAACAGCCTCGTTCGTGACTTTCACATTATTTGTTTACAATTGCTTGATTGAGCAAATATTTTGTAAAGTTAGGAAGAAGTTTTAAAATGGTCATCAAGTAAGCAACTGATCAATAAAGTCAAACGGTGGAATATGCTTTTGGTCATTTGTTGCCTTCCATCAGATCCGATTAAGTTTTCTTTGTTGAGGATATTTACAATCATTTGTGATTATTTCAATGAGTTAATCGTTAATCTCAGATAGCATACACTCAAAAAATAAATCACATTTTCAATGTAAAATACCCATTAGAATTTCACACATAAGAATAACTTTCATTTGATCTCATAATTGGGACTCGCACAAAATCACATGAACCTTGTGTCCAATTAAATTATAGTGATTTATCACATAGAACTCATGTAATGATATGAATGTTATGAGAAATTTCAGATAAACATAATGAATTATATTATTGGAAAAATTTCATCATTTTTTTTTCAGTCTAGTCAATTTAGACAGGTTCAGCAGTGATGCAGCCAGGATTAATGTCTGTGGGGGACGGTGGTATGTAAAAATTACGTTATTAAAAATAATCAGGCAGCCAAACCAACATTGGGGCATGCATCCAGCATGCAAGGATCGTCCACTTTCAATTGTTGCAGTATGTATCCAACACTAACTAAATTTTTCCCGGGAACTAAACGCACTGATTAGTTAATTACACTTTTATTTACGCATACAAACTACATTTACTGACCGTAGCCTAAGCGATTGTGTCGGATGAAGGGTGTCCCACATCAAAGTGCATCACGGAAAAAAAAACACTGTAGAAAATTATCCATTGGGTATTTTCTCTAAAAAAATTGGGTAGAAGTAGTTTAGAGTGTATTGTTTACACTGTATTTTTATCGCTGTCAGTTTTTTGAAAGTCGTAAAAAATTGCGTCACCCGAAAAGCAACGTCGCGAATTGATTTTGCGCAAGCACCTGGAAAATCTTCAACTCTCTCATCGGGACATCGGAAAACAACTCGGAATCGTGCAGTCAACGGTGAGTCGTGTGAATAATCGTTACTACTCTGAGCATCGAACGAAAGGAGAAATGCGGTCAGAATGGATGTTCTATTAGTGATCAGGATCACAAACTTGTCTAGTTTGAAAGGTTTTCAATACTTCCGAAGATTGCATTGTTCATAAACTTTTATTTTCAAATCAAATATGTTAAAAAAGTACATTTTTTATCATTTTTTTATTATTATTTTAATTAGTTATTAGAAAAAAATACCGTGAGTATTTCTTCTTGAAAGACTATTTGTCCCTACAACTTTTTTTTTTATATCTTTATTAAGGAGACTTTCAGCCCTGGGCTGGTTCGTCTCCGGTACCCTCCCTACAACTTCCTCATTTGGCGTGGATCTGCTCTAGGGTAAATGACACCTTTGGCAATACCTCTACATGTTATCGTTAGGGTGTGTGTTAAATGAAGTCCATGAGCACTATTTGGATGTGAATACTTCTTGTTTCAAAGCATTGTTTGGCAAAAAACTAAACACAAAAGAATCACTTTAGATGGTACTTCCTCCCCTGTCGATAATAGTTAAAGGTATTGTTGAACCCACCATTTAACCTATTGGCGTACTGGTTAACATCCATACCTCTCACGCCAATGCCACGAGTTCAAATCTCATCCCTGACAAGTCACGAATGTCTCAAGAGTATTAAAGTAACTACAGTCAACTGTCCATAACTGGATATTGAAAGGACCATCGAGTTATAAAATTATAATAAACTTTTTTTTTGTTCGTCTATCATTTTAAGAATAATCGCGACGTATTCCGTCTACTGTAATATCTGGCCCCATTTATCTAAATGAATTCGAAAAATGTTATTAAAATACATTCATGGAAGTTCTAAGCAGTTAATTCCCAATATTAAATCAATATGCTCAAAAACACGCCATAGGCCGTCAATTGGGTTATTTAATTTCGAAAAATACACCAATTTTTATACATCATCTGATAGAGCTTTGCTTTCTGAGTACAACGATATTTTTATCAATTCCGTAGACATTCATCTCGATTTTTATTTTTTTTCCTTTGGTTTGTTTTCCGTCGATCTTGTTTTCCGAGCTGAGCACCAATGCTACCGACGCCAAGGAGGCAGCTCCCACACCTGGACCCTACCTATCAACCCAACAACTCATGAACCGGGGACCAACGGCTTTACTTCCCTTCCGAAGGAAGGCGTGATCAGAGATGTTATGCCTCAGAACGTCCCGGCGGCGCCGACTGGGATTGAACCCAGACCTGCTGGGGTGAGAGGTAATCACGTTTACCACTACACCACCGGCGCCGCTATCTCGATTTTTAAATCAAGTTTTAAACTTTTGATCGTTGACACTAAATGTATTCGATGAAAGCTCGCTCCCATACAAAATCTCACCAAGGGGCGCTAAGATGGTAATTTTTGCTAATGTTATCGTACTTATTTAAAATAGTTCCAGTGTACCAAAATTGACATTGTTCCAATGTAGCCCAAAAAATTGCTGGATGTGTATGCAGTTCAATATAATCAGAAATGATTGGATAAACATTTCTGGATGTGGTACTGTCGCCCTGAGTAGATTAAGTTGGGGAAAGACGGCTCATCTACTTGATTTATTTATTTTGACGTAGGACTACGTCTTTGATTTCTATATGGGGGTACACTTTGTGAAAACCAAAAATGGAACATGTAACAAATTGAGAAAGATTTTGAACGTTAATAACTCAGCTGTCCCTGGTCCAATTTCAATAATTTTATCACCAATCGATCAAAAATATGGCTACGCATCGATAACAATGCTTCTGAATGTTGATTTTTAACAAGAAACTATTGAAAAACTGGTAAATGTTCAGCATTGTCCAAAAGCGTCGAATTAACTAACAAATCCACCAATATGCATATGCTGCTTCCCCAGCAAAGTCGTCAGAGAGTAGTAATTAGACGAAACAAGTCGAAGTGGCATTCGCCATTCGCCGGATGGAATTGCGTAATATTTTGCACACTCATCGCCATACTGTGTGGTGGTGTTCGGTCGTCGAAATTAGTAGCAGCAGTAGCAGTGCTTTTGGCGTGTGGCGTTGAAAGTTGTTCTGCAGTAACAACGAAAGGCTGCCTGCAAGCGGTCGGTCATCTATGCCAAGCGTGTCACCCTCGCTCCAAACGACATACAGCTCGAGAGCCTTATCCGTGTTGAACACCCCGCTCAGAATTACTCAACCATCACTACAAAACGGTCCTTTTCAGGACCACCGTAAATTTGTTAAGAGTATTATTTGGACATGTGTTAAGGTCATCAGTTCCCGCAAGCAGCTAGCTATCAAGGCTCAACCTGGTCTCTATAGAAGGTGTGGAATTGTAGACCCGAATGTATTGGTGAGATTAATCATCGTCCGACCATTTTCCAGAACACGCTGGTAGGAAGTGTTAAAAATCCATATAGAATTTGAGAGAAGTGGGAATAATTCGCTTTGGGTGTATATTCAGTCCCCAGAAAGCCAATAAAATCAAATTTGTGAGAAAATTAGTTCTCACGACTTCAATCTCTCGAAGTCCCTCCTTTTTTACATATTCTGCACAAACGATACTTTCCGCCCCGCCCCATTCATATAATTCGGAAGGAAATCCTGTGAGGGGTGAATTGAATACACTTTAATACCAAAATGCACAAAACTTAAAAATTCATAAATAACAAAATTCAAAATACACCTTTTAAAGTCGGGTAGATGAATCGAAAATACTCAAGTTGACAGTCCCTTGGATTCTCTTCATGAACTTTCTCTTTGAAATAAATACTACAAATTTGATACGCTTACAAATAAAAAAAACGGAAAGAGTTAAGATAATTGATAATTCATCAATTAAAAGAACTAAATGTTCACATTTGTTCCGTCCACTAGCGGTCCTACGTCAAGCTTCCGTTCGTGCCCCTAGGCACAGACCCTTCTACTTTTTTTGTTTGTGAACATCAACAGGCTAAATTTGTCGGTGAACAGAGTGTAAATAGTTACGGATATTGACAAAATTCAGGTAATCTTTACACAGTAGGTCTCTTGACTGCAATAGATTAGACACGAACCAACTCATACAGTTTGTACGCGTGTTCGTGGCTAGGATACACATTTTTCGCGAACACGGCGGCAGATGTCAGTTTTGTGCTTTGATCAGAAATGTCATGATAATTTGTAAAGTCATTCATGTCGGTTTGTCGGTGCTCATACGACAAACACAACAAGAAACGGTTATGTGCTCAAGTTATTAACTAAAGAGAAAGCCAACGAAGAGAATCGATCAATGTTACTTAGGACCTAATGCAATGTTCAGCTTGAAATGCTATGATTACTTGAGATGTGTCAAATGATGTAAATATTTACACCTTGTGCACTGAAGAATGTACACGGTTAGAAAAAGTCCTCAAAATTAAGTTATTTTCACTCATCTCGGCACTATAGTGCAGGAACCCAAAAGTAGGTGAAGCGGGTCAAAGTAATTTTCATTTACTTGTGTACGAATGGAATTTTCCACTGGCTTTTTAATCAAAAGTAAGTTAGTTGTACTCAACAGTAGGTAAATATGATTATACTTAACGTTGGGTTCCCACACTTTACCCCCCCCCCCCCTGTTGGGTGGTTTTGCTCCTCCGTTTTTGACAACATTAGAAGGAGAAAAGGAGACAAACTAGCCAAAAAAGGTAAAAGTTG